ATTAGTAAACTATTTGCTACCAAAATATACATCTGTACCTGTTTTAAAATCTGGTTTTGCTTTGTAAACTCCTCCTTGGAGTCTGACTTCATTTTTAATTGCTCTTTTGTATTGGAAATCTCCTTCAGACTGCTGAGTGTTTGATTTGGTTTGGCCACTGCTCTGCCTTTCAGGAGGCAAGCGCTTGAGAGAAGGTTCAGGGAAGGAGCAGGGTCAGGCATGCCACTGAGGGTTACTTGATATCTTGGTTAATACAGGAAATCTTTTTTTTTTTTATTCCTGGATAGATGTGAGCCTTCCCACCTGGAAAATGGAAAAAGAGGGAATAGAGCCTGAGAAACAGAGCCCTCTGCCACCACCTGCAAACAGTTAGACAGGAAATTTGAATGGAAGTAGCCAGTTTACAGAGATGCACGCAGACCATTACAAAGCACAGTCTTCAGACAGACCAATTTGCTCACCACTTCAAGAGAAGAAGGGATTTGAGATGTTTCTTATGTACTTTAGTAGTTAAAGGACTTCATATGACTCTCCCAGCTCATTAAATCTAGCTAAATTATTAAATGCAGACATGATGGACTCTCTTCCCGTGGTCTGACTTCTCTTCTGGGGCCACATAAGGGCCCACCAGTTAGAGTCTCTTCTCCTTGTTGTCGATATTGCAGCAAAAAAGAAACATCTGTTGTCATCTATAGGTCTTTCACATGAATAGCCTAACTGATTGGTGTGCTGTGGCCTGTGTTGTCTTCATGGAACCACTTCAATTGGCACAGTCAAGAACTACTGTTATTAGTCTTGTTCCTTATTTGATGGAGGCTCTATTTCTGCTTCCCCTAATCTATTTGCATCTCCCAGAAGACCAGATCTTGGGCTGGTTCCCTGTCCTGCTGTGCTTATACATCATGGACTCAAAATTGAAGATGAGATCTCCAACTCCTGAAGAACTCTCTTATTGTGAAAACTTATCTTCTGATATAGTATAGATCTTGTGAGCTTGAATATCGAAACATTTTTCTAGAGAATCTACATCTATTCCAAAATAGTTTTACCTGGGTCTTCTTGACAAAATTTGCCCTCGCTTGGAAAAGGCATGAAAAATAACCTCTTTCACAGTTAGATAGTCAAAGTGACAAGAACATACTATGTGCTAAGCTAGGACTAACTACTAGCCTTCTCAAAAGGATAAGAATAAACACGGACTCATCTTGCTTCCAGTTAGGCAAGAGGAACCTGTGCAGCCTATATCTGTGTTAACGAGTTGCATCGCAAACCAGGAGTGGATCTGTAAAGCAGATAAAAAAAAAGGAGGTGTTGAGGGCTCAGCATCCTTGCTGTGTGCAATTTAGGGTGTGGGGTGTGTGTGAGGGAGTTCAGCCTGCGTCTAGTCTGGTCCTGGAATGCACACCAGTGCCACTGCAGGAACATAGAAGGTTGGAGCTGAGTAGAGGGCTGGGACCCCACTACTGGTCAGCCTTACTTTTCAATTTCAGTTTTTTCCTTTCACTTTTTATATTCCTCACCACTGGGAGACAGCTACATCTAGGATCCATAACAGCACTATTCTGCAATGCAGCCTTGAAAATGGTTTGTGTTGTGGGCAAACAGATGCTCTGTAGAAAGATGTGGAACAACCTTTGATCACATCCAATGAAAGTTCCAGTTTTGTTCTGTCTCAGAATAAGTAAGGACGCATGTTGCTTCAGGCCATTAGACTGGTTGTAATAATTTCCTTTTGTGTCATTTCTCTGAAGTTCTGTGGATCACTAAAATGAGACATCTGAAAACCAGTGCTCTGGATGCAATACTGTAGAGGAGAAATGTGGGCTAAACTGAGAAAACCAAGTTTTAATTCCTGTCTACTTACAGTGTGTATTTTTTGTCAAAGTATCTTTTGTTTAACAGATGCACCAAGTTATGATTATCTGTTGGTATTGTATGCCAAAGACCATTACAACATCAGTGGGACTGTCTTGTTCTGCTGTTCTTTTGAGGGGAAAAACTTCTTTAGAAAGGAGAGTTATTGGTGTAATTTGCTATGGTTAAAATATGCACAGTGATACCACAGAATGTTAAAATAATCATAGAATCAACTGGGTTGGAAAAGACCTCCGAGATCATCAAGTCCAACCCTTGATCCAACACCACTGTGGTTACTAGACCATGGCACTAAGTGCCACATCCAGTCTCATCTTAGAAACCTTGAGGGATGGTGAATCCACCACCTCCCTGGGCAGCCCATTCCAATGCCTGATTACCCTCTCTGTAAAAAATTTCTTCCTAATATTCAACCTAAACCTCCCCTGGCACAGCTTAAGACCATGCCCTCTTGTCCTGCTGCTGGTTGCCTGGGAGAAGAGACCGATGCCCACCTGGCTACAACCTCCTTTCAGGGAGTTGTAGAGGGTGATGAGGTCTCCCCTGAGCCTCCTCTTCTCCAGGCTGAACAACTCCAGCTCCCTCGACCTCTCCTCATTGGACTTGTGTTCAAGTCCCTTCACCAGCCTTGTTGTTCTTCTCTGGATCTGCTCCAGCAGCTCAATATCCTTCCTGAACTGAGGGGCCCAGAACTGGACACAGTACTCCAGGTGTGACCTCACCAGTGGTGAGTACAGGGGAAGAATCACTTCCCTGGTCCTGCTGGCCACACTGTTTCTGATCCAGGCCAGGATGCCATTGGCCTTCTTGTCCACCTGGGCACAATGCTGGCTCATGTTCCTGTCAATCCAAACGCCCAGGTCCCTCTCTGCCTGGCTGTTCTTCAGCCACTCTGTCCTCAGCCTGTAGCACTGCATAGGGTTGTTGTGGCCAAAGTGAAGGGCCTGGCACTTGACCTTGTTGAACCTCATCCCGTTGGAATCAGACCATCTCTCCAACTTGTCCAGATCCCTCTGCAGAGCCCTCCTGCCTTCCAGCAGATCAACACTCCCCCTCGACTTGGTGTCATCTGCAAATTTGCTTATGGTGGACTCAATCCCCCCATCCTTAATAAAGATATTTAGCAGAACTGGGCCCTACACTGATCCCTGAGGGACACCACCAGTGACCGGTCGCCAACGGGATGCAGCACCGCTCACCACCACTCTCTGGGCCCGGCCCTCCAGCCAGTTCCTAACCCAGCACAGAGTGCCCCTGTCCAAGCTGTGGGCTGCCAGCTTTTTCAGGAGAATGCTATGGGAAACAGCGTCAAAGGCTTTGCTGAAGTACAGATAGACCACATCCACAGCCTTCCCCTCATCCACCAGGTGGGTCACCTGATCATAAAAGATCAGGTTGGTCAGACAGAACCTGCCCCTCCTAAACCTGTGTTGACTGGGTCTGATCCCTTGTCCATCCTGTAGGTGCTGTGTGATTGCATTTAGAATGATCTGCTCCATAACCTTGCCAGGCACTGAGGTCAGGCTGACAGGCCTTTTCTGGAACTGTCTGCCCTTCAGACAAACAGTGGTTAGTTGTCGAGTTTTCCAAAGTGTCCTTGGATGAAATCGTGTTGTACCACAAGGAGCAGTAATACATAAATAAAATATTTGTTAGTGTTGTTCTCAGCATATACATAAATAAAACACTGTTGCTGTATGTTTGTTTTCGCTGGGACTCAGCAACAACAAAAAAACTTCTGTAGTGATACTACTTTTTTCCACTCCAGTTTGAACCTGTGTAAGTAACCTTCTGAATACCATGCCAGTGTATTTCTCATAGCTGTTTACACATATCATATAAGTTATTTTGTTTAGTTTTATTACCTGCAAATATCTATCATATTGTAAGAAAAAGTAAAAGGCTGTAACATATTGGACCACTTGTCTAACTTTTAGAAACATCCTATTCCTGACAGTGGTCAGACATCGGATAAAGGATACAGTGATGCTTCTTCCAGTGTACCCTCAACTCTTTCACCAGTGCAGTGCTTAGAAGCTTTAAGACCTATATGGTGTATCTATATAGTAGTACTTAATACTCTTACATGAATCTATTATAGATATAGCAATTTTTTCAAATTACCTGCATTTTTGGCTGCTATAGTACCCAGCAAGAAGAACTCTAGGCTTACACTACACACTCTGGAAAATACTTACTTTTTTAAAGTTCCCGATAATTTCATTGACTACCTCCTAGTTTTTTCTCTTAGGTGACAGAATGAATAATACCCTCTGTTCATATTGTTTCTCCTTTTATAATTTTGTAGTTATAACTCTGTGTATGTCTTCTGCTGCTGTTTACCTTCTTTTCTCTTAAATGTCCAAATTAATCCTCAAAACTGAGATTATCTTCAATGGTAGCCAGCAAACAGAAGTGGGGACTAATTTGTTTTTGAAACAAAACACCGCAGAAGGAGGACAGGGAGGACAAAGGCCATCTTGAATTAATGACATTATGGTACATGGAGGGTCATCACCAGGTGAAATTTCAGTTTACAGCGAAGGAAGGATCACATCATAAAATGTAGATAAAATGGAATTTACTTTCTGAGACATACAAAATTAAAAAAAGAAAAAAACCACCATAAAGGGAAATTCATACACTGTAGGTAGATGAATTCCCTAAGTTGTCACAGTCTGCATTTTTCTTTCCTTTATTACACCTGCATGTGGGTAACTCCCTTAGAATTTCTTATTGCTCCTTATGTATTAGTACAGTAATTTAGCTACCACCAGACACCTTGCAAAAGAAAGCTAAAATTCTACTTACTGCCATTGAAAAAAGGATTGTTATTATACCCAGAGAGTAGAGAAGTAGACCAGAGCAGAGGGAATGATTTTTTTGCATATTTCCTCTATTGTATAATATTTCCTATATGTCCCTTGTTTCATCATGAATAAAAGGGCGTTATTCAATCTGCTGGACTACAGTGCTGTTTTGGCTCAGGAAGGGAAGCTCCTATTGAAAACACCACTCCAAAGAATATTTTCATCTATTATACTGGTATTTCTAACTCTTACTTTGCAAAAGACAATCACACACTACTTGGGATTGTTGCTTCTTTTCAAAATAGTTAAAAACATTTTGTCAATCTATTTGTCAATAGAAAGGATGTTATTAGGGCTGTGGGACCAAAAAAATGACCTATTTCTTTTGGTTTGCAGAGTAGGGATATCTGTGCCAAAAGCTTTTCCCCACCTGCGTATACCATCACAGAATATTTATTAATTTTAAATAATTTGATCTTGATGCTTGCAGATAAAATTAGTTAAGGCAACAAGAAACTTTAATGAACAGATGACTTGAACACAGTACAAGACAGCGAAATTCAGAAGTAATGCTCTGCTGGTGCTGCCATTTCAAAATTGAAATAAACTGAAATAGTTTAGAGTGTGATGGAGTAAAAATACACTATTGTCTTCTATGAAGTTGGTATGAGTTCTGCTTAGACCAGTGGTTGCTCTGTGCAAGAACATTGGATGACTGAGTTTCAGAACAAAGCATTAGTTTTGCAAGGTATGTCCTCTCTTCAGAAGTTTTGCAATGAGACTTTAAGAGCTTTATTCTATCTACTGCTCAGTAATGAAAGCTTTGAAAGGGACAGTCTGATTGAAAATGCTGCCATTCCAAGGATATCTTCCTGCTTGTGGACCACTGAGAAAGAGAAAAGAAACAGCATCTGTCAGTCGATCTATATATTCAGGAGAGGGAACAGGAGAAGGGAAGGTACATTTATTTCCAGTTGTGGACATTGTTGAGAATCTTACTCATGCTTTAAGTACATACATACATGTTTTGGCATCAGCAGTTGCAAAACTGGAGTGAAGGTAGAAAGCTTCTTGAGGAACCATTTCAGACGCTGAGAGCTAGGACCAAAGAGAAGTGGAAACAGCAAAGTATAAATATTTCTAAATTGGGTTTCATGTCATAGAACTCCCTCAAATGTCCTTCTAGATAGATGTGGAAGTCCATTTTCAAAAAATCTCATTTTCTGATTTAATTTTTTCCATTTTGACCACTGCAGTACGAAAACCCCCTTGTTAGCTCTGCTTATGGTTTCTTACTGATACCTTAATAATGAACCTTAATCTTAATGTAATTCTAACCCCTTAATCAATAAATTTTGTTGTAATAACAGTAATTCTCATTAGCAGTTATGTAATTTCTTTAATCTACCAGGATATTTGCATTCATCATGTAGGTATATCTTCTATCAGCCTCTAAATCTACTGGACAAAGTATGTCAGAGAACTTAGGTGACATTTCTGTATTTACAGAAGTTATGGGTTTCAACAGTGGGTTGAAACTCTTGAACTACTGGTTTTCAGCACTCCTGCAGTATGTCATTAAAACTGTTAGCACACTGCCATTCCTGAAGTCTTTCCCGAGTTTTGTTGTGCATGTGTCTGATTTCCCTGCAGCAGATTTTTCTTGACATCTGCTGTCAAGATAACTGTAGCTAGATTGAGGTGAAAAATGCACTGGCTCTTCAAGTGTCCTGTTTACCAAAAACTGGTACTACAGACAGACCCAGCAGGGCAATAAAAAGCAACCAACCAATCGTCATAAATTTGTATTACAACTGGATAAAACTTTTAATTAAGAATTTTCTACAGAAACTGAGTTTTCTGCCAAATTAAAATCTTCAACAGGGCAGTGTTTACTTTTTTTAACTTTTAAGGAGAGGTAGTTTAAAAATGTTGGCTTTTAAAAGAGTTTTCCATTACTCCTTGCATGAATCTAAGTCACTGTGCTGGTTTATTAGACTATAGGAGGTATGATTTGGATAACTCATGTCTTCATGTTTCCATGTCACCAATGTTCAACAGGCAGACTGTAGCTCTCACATGTATTGTATCTTCTCTGGTAGAGGGATAGATAGCCCACAACACAGCATAGAAGACATTTTTCAAAACTGCAATTTGGAACTGAAAATTTTTCCTCAGAAAGTCTTCCTGTATCAATTTTTTGCCCCAGTTTCAGGGAAAAATGAGTATTGAAATAATTAGTTTATTCAAAAATATAAAGTTAATTTTTTTGCCAGCTTAGACTTGCATATAAAGTTATCAGCTAATTCAGAATTTTTTCAGGATTTTTTTCTTCATTCAAATGAAAGAAAAAACCATCCCTGGGAATCTTGGAATAAAGTACAGAGTATTTTACATATTTGGCCTTTATAATATGGACTGGGAGTCATGCAATCATACAATAACATGATGTAGCACCTGATATGGTTTGAAGCTGGCTCCCTGCCAAGTCCCCAAACCTCACCACAAGACTTCCCCCACCTCAAACCAAGGGAGAAGAGGGGAAAAAAAACCCAAGAGAACCGAAACAAGAGAGAGACAGCTAAAGCAATATGTATAAATATATTTACACTTATATTACAGTTATATACAATGGAAATATATATACAATTTCAAAAGGAAAAGGGAAAGGGAAGGGGGAAGGGAAAAAAGGAACAAAACCAAAATAAAATATATATATATCCCGATCAATAGCCCAAGATCTAGCAACTAAAAGAATTAGCAAAAGAATATCTTACTACTCTCCTTGGGAAAACAGAAAAGTCGCGCTGGAACAACTGCTGGCAACCCCCGTCTCCCAAGGTTGGCAAGGCCTTACCAGTCCTCACTGCCCAACACAACAGACTCAACAGCAGGGAAACCTGCACCTCCAAAGCCACTGGAAGGAAAGAGAGCGAAGGCCTCTCCTCCTTTCTTCTTACAGTCTGGTTTACGTAAAAATTGTAGGGAATACTGGGTAAATCTAGACCCTTCCTTGGTTACAAACTGGTCACCAAGGAAGGCCTAGACTAAACTACCACAAGCACCTTTAACAACTTCTGCACAAAATGCATGCTTTATGTCTACCATACTTAGCAGCAACACAGGCTTAATATTCTTAACCTGCTGCAAGCCATGCAGACAGTTCATTAACACTGTTGCTTGTATGAAGCATGCCTGTATTTTGTTCTTTATTACAGTTTTTGCTGTCAGCGGCTCTGAAGACAGACATTTTTGTAAATAAAAATGTGGGAAAGATCTCTGGGATCATTTTGGAAAGACCTTTCTTGCATTACCAAAAGAATTGAACGTGACCTGTCAATGCGCACTTGCAGCCCAGAAAGCCAGTCTTATCCTTGGCTCCATCAAAAGAAGTGTGGCCGTCAGGTCAAGGGAGGTGCTTCTGCCCCTTTACCCTTATTCTCTTGTCATCCCACCTGGAGTACTTTGTCCAGCTCTGGGGCTCCAGTACAAGAAAGTCATGGACCTATTAGAGCAGGTCCAGTGCAGAGTTACGAAGGTGATCAGTGGGCTGAAGCACTTTTCCTGTGAGGACAGGCTGAGAAAGTTGGGATTGTTCAGTCTAGAGAAAACTCCAGGGAGACCTTCTGGAAGCCTTTCAGTATTTGTGCCTATTACATGTGTGAACTGGCTCTGTCGAAACAGCGGCATCAGCAAAGTACTGATAAGGGCTCATAAGAAAGATGGAGAGAGACTTTTTACCAAGGCCTTTAATGACAGGAGAAAGGTCAACAGTTTTAAACTGAAAGCGATTGGATATAAGGAAGAAATGTTTTATGACAAGGGCTGAGAGACGCTGGAACAGGTTGCCCAGAGAAGTTGTGGATACCCCACTATTGGAAGAGTTCAAGGTCAGGTTGGATAAAGATTTCAACAACCCAGTCTAGTGAAAAGTGTCCCTACCTGTGGCATGGGTTTGGAATTAGATGATCTTTAATATCCCTTTCAACCCAAATAATTCCTTAATTCTATGATTCTCTGGAATGTTCCCAAATGCCCAGTTGCACCTGAACTTTGGTTTGGTTTTGCTCCTTTCATTGGATGAAGAAACCCAGACTGTCATTTATTGGAAGTTAAAGAAGGTATTATCCAAAAGATACATAATTTCTTTTCTGTCATCAGAATAAGTTTGGAATTGATAGAAATGTAAACAAGAACCTGAACTGTTCTGCCATAAACACACCCAATTCTATATCCCAATCCAATGTAGAATTTAATTAGAACTGTGCCTTTATGCTAATCTATGTGGACCTAACTTTTTTTTTTTTCTGTAACCTTTGGATTCAATTGAAATGGCGTCTGTTAAATTCCTCAACTACATTCAGTGCTTTTGTGAGAGTCTACAAGGAGACTTTTGTTTGTGTAAAAGGAGTTAAAATCATGTCTATATGTTTGGAACCTTGAAATTTTAGTGAGAATGTCAGCCTTTCTGATTTTGTCATTCTCTAGAGCAAGGCAAGTGATTTTAGCAACATAATCATATTTATCTCTTGTCAGCTCCATGTGGTTTCCTTGGTCTGTATGTGGGATATTAATTTTTAACAGAATTATTTCATCCTCAGCCAGGGAGATTTGCAGTGTCAGCATCTCCTAGTTCACACTCCAGTACTGTAATTCACAATCTAAGCAGGCAAGATGAATGGTGGCATAAGGACAAATAATAGAAAACCAAAAGACTGAGATAACAGAAATAAGCACATAGATAAAAGGTGTAGATAATGACTCAGGAATGAGAAGGTGAATAAGGGAATCAGATAATTTCCCCCAGATTTACATTAATAACAGACAGAGATTCATATACTGTACCAATTGCTGTAAAATGCAAAAGGGGAAATTCCGTAAGACGACTGTTGCTTTTAGGTCTGAGTCAAAAAACCTCAGAAGTATAAGTGTTTAATTCTTAACTAAGGAATTACTATAAGTTAAAAGTGCCCTTGAATACTTTGCTCATGAGCAAACTCCAATGTATAATGGTCCTAAATTTGTGGATATTTCGTTCTTCATCTTACAGCAGTTTTCTTAAGTATTATTATTTGAGTCCTCTATTATGTGTTTAAGATAGTATTTGTTGAAATCAATCTCCGTGCAATTTAACAACAAGGTAATATACACAGTTAATGACCATCATCTATCTCATACTGGAATTCTTTATTTCTTTACTGGATAATCTCTGTAATTAATGCAGCTTAATAAAATGAAATAAATATGAAATGTATGGTCAGCTCATCAGTGAATGTAAATCAGAGCAGTCCACTTTACCTGTGAGCTCATACCTATTTACAGCATTCCATGATCTTCTGCAGAGGTTCAGTACTACATACGTGAATGTTAAATTCTTGATATTCTTTTTGCTCTCATTTGACTCATAAAGCTAACATGTAGCTGTAGTTCAATTAATATGTTCAAAATACATTGTATATCAATTAAGTGAAATTTTCTTTTGAAACTGACAATTCCAAATAAAACTACACTCAAATAGAGCTGTACTCAACTATTTATTTAGTATTTTATTTGACAACTACTTTTAGTAGTGTATCAGTCAGAAACATATGCTGTTCCATTATGATCTCTTGCTTTTGGTTACTTGTCTACTTCATTAATTAATTTTAAAAGTAATTACTGAAAAATTATGTTCAACTTGCAGTTATGCGCTAAATTTTGCAATTTTAAAAAAATTTACTCTTTGTGATGGTCCAGAAATAGGTGGTTTAGTATCAGATTGATTAGGTGAAGGCTTTCAGAATGGCACTTATGAATTTAGAAGCCTATGTTCAGCCTTAACCTGTTTTGATCAAATTTGATTTGCTGTTTATTTTCAACTTACGTGACCTTGAAAGTGTAAGGAGTTCACTTAAAGGAGGGCCAACTGAGATGAAACCGTGAGTTGTTTAAATTTGTGAATCCAAGGAACTGTGCTGCTCTCCTTAGCTGACTGTCTGATCCAGTGTTTGTGGCTTCTAGTTATATTTGTCTTCTTGTAAAGCAAGTCTGTATATGAAAATCTTGACATGAATACCTGGTGTTACATTTTGCTTTGTTCCAATTAATTAAATCTGCTTATAAATTATTTCTGATTTTTTATGTTCCCAACATGATTATATATTGCGGCTTGGTCTTACCTTGTATTGTTTAGCTATGTGTATAAGGAATTTTTATCCAGTTTCCTAATAGTAGTCCAGTCATCTGTCAATGGAAATGTATCTTTATATTCACTTTTTGTGAAGCCCTGCATAGATGACAGTAGGCCTGTAATGCTTGTTTGTTGTAATGCCCGTAACAATTGTTTTAAAATCTTTTTGATTGGTTGTTTATTCAGTTTTGGTTTTATTGACTTTTCTGAGGACACTCTGCAGTCTGTATCACCTAAGTCAGCTGAAAAACTTCTGCTCTGTAGTGACTGATAAGAAAAGGTCACTGTTTTCCCAAAATTATTAGGTTGCTTCCAAAGAACTTGGTTGTACCAGGATACTGTGGTTCAGCAAACCGCACTTTAAATTAAAGTATACACTTTAAGTATGCACTTTCTCATACCAGTACATTTAATCATACACCTGCAGGTAAGTGTTCTGCTGTAACAGACTACAGCAACCAGCATGCAGCACAATTTATTTCCAAAACAAAAAAGTTATTTCAGTACCTAATTGCTAGTAAAATACTAAGTTTTCCCTTTCTTTCTCTGGGATCCACATGAATGTAGGGGCCAGTCATGCATTTCACTACTCTTTACATGCTGCATCCTGTACTTGGACATATCGTTTCATTGGCGCCCTGCTGCATCATTTTGTCTCAATACTTGTTCTTAATTGTAATTAATAAACCCATGGAAATACTGTAGTTCCTGGGATATTGTTTACTTCAGGCATGTTATGGTTTTGTTAAGATATTGAATGTAGGTTTCTAAAACAGAAAGGTTAGAACACAGTTAAAAAGATAGTTAGCTGAAAATTTCAAAACGTAAAAATTATTGCATCTTAAACTTTGAACTTATTTGTAAGATTGCATTGACTTGAAGCTGTTCAACTGAGCTTCTAGAATTATTGACTATTACCAGTTTGAAAGTGATTGCCAATGGGACGTATTTCAAGCCTGGAATGGATCCAAGATGAAGCCCTCTGACAATGTATACACATAAATCCTTTATCTCATTGAGCAGGTTATTTTAGGGGAGCCTACCAGATTAGTAATGGGATGCCTTGCAATTCCATTAATGAAATCCTGTCAGAATAAATTGATGAATAACATGCTGATATTTTAGGCTTTTTTATGGCACTGTAATGCAGTTGTTTAAGAACTCATTGCACAAACCATTTTAGGTGTTGTTGATGTTAAATAGTAACCCATGCAGTTACTATGTTACTTCATCTTTCATTTTAACAGTAGTATTGATTTGGTGAAAAGCAGAATTTATAAAACTGTTTTCTGATAAAGTTGCCTGTATATGACCAAAGCTGATGTCCTACTAACACAAGAACTGTGTGAGTTCTGTACAAGATTGGCTTAAAGGGACTTGTGCTTTGATTTGAGATTTTGATAAATATTAATTTTGATTTGTAATTGACTTTCTGTCCAAAATGTTATAGCAAAAGCCTATTTGGACTATATCACTCTGAAATGAGCTTAAATACCTCGTGCAGAAGTGCATCATTTATGTATCTACCTATACTACTTTGTATTTATTAATATAATTTAATATTTAGACTTGTAAAAGGAACAAAAATGCACTGTAGTCAACATCATTAAAGAAGATTGTGAAAAATATTGTCAGGAAGAGAGGAGGGAGCAGTGCTGTGGAACAGAGGGGACTTGGTCTTGTTTCCATAAAGAACTTAAATAAAATCAGGCTCAGAATGCCTCACATATACTAATGTTTGAATGTAAGGATGAGCATTATTCAGGTATTTAAATGTGTGTGTGCTC